CAACAACAACAACAACAACAACAACAACAACAACAACAACAACAACAACAACAACAACAACAACAACAACAACAACAACAACAACAACAACAACAGCAGCAACAACAACAACAACAACAACGGCAACAACAACAACAACAACAACAGGCCAGCGCCACCAGCAGGGGAAGCAAGGATACAAGAATCTACCTTGCAGTAGCTAGTAGGAAGCAAGGATACAGGAATCTGCCTTGCAGTAGCTAGGAATCCACCTTGCAAATCATTTAGTAGAGGATAGTGGGCAGGGTTGATTAGTGCTGACTTCTTGTCCAAAGACATCTTCAAAGAAAGCATAGCTTCCAGCAGGAGCTTATCTGCTGTCTGTAGGATATCAGATCATGGGTATCATTCATATCTACAACACATAACTATTTATCATACCTATGATTCATACACACTCTACATATATGATTCACTTGATCCTATGGATCCATATGATCAACATGACTCAGTTGATTCACTTACATGACTGACTTGACTCATTCAATTCACACATCACTTGATCTTCATTCTGATTGGTCTTAGATTTCATAATTTGTTGATCCTCAATAAGAGCATTGACTCACTTTTCTTCTAGCGCACAATTTACATCACTATTAGATAGTAGTCACTCCCACAGGTTATGACACCCTTCCAATAAAAATCATCTTCACCATGGTGATCTTTTTTAAGGCGTGCTCTCTCCTCATCACACGACTCTACTGCTGCACCATCCGTTCACACAGCTTTGAACAACAAATTGTCATTGCGCATGCAACAACAATATCTAACATGCATTGATACTATCAACACCCATTGCGTGACACAAATGAAACGTCTGTTTTGACACACTCGCCATTGTCAATGCCCAATACTCATCATTGTTTCAAAATTGAAATCTTCTGACAAGACACACATTCTGTTTTCTGGGACACCTTGGGCATTAACAATCACACTCTAAATTCTTTACTTACACTTGAGCATTAAAAATAAATCCCGCACACATGCAACTGCACGTGTCACTCCTTTTTTTTATTCCCACACCCGAGACTGTCTCACTTTACGATACCAACACATGTTGCCGTAAACTTCCCTCCAACAAGAACCTTTCAAAAGCTTCTCATGAAAACGATACTTTTAAACCCAACCAAAATATCCCTTTACAACAAACATTCCATAAAACATATTTTGATCCAAATCAAAACATCTTTTATTCCCAAACATCTTCCTGACTAAGACTTTCAAACTTCAAGCAAACTTTTCAACATGACCAACACCAGAAGCAGCAAATCTACGTCACCCCATTCTTCTATCCAAAGATTGAGTACATTGATGTTATCTTCCTCAATCACCATGTCTACCCCAACCTGACTGACAAAATGAACAATGCCTACTGCATGTCAATCAACTTTGAAAACTACCTTAACAATGCTAAAGATGCATTTGAAGACCAAGCCCTCCTTCTCCAGACCATCCAGACAGACATTATCCACCACATCAGAAAATGTGAGATCTACACTGCCAACATATCTCGTATCGATGATATCATTGACAACAAAACCTACCTTATGGTAACCATCAACAAAGACACTTGTCGAAAACTTGGTGACGACATTCGTCTTCTTACCCGTTCATTAAACTTTGTTCCCAAATCTGACAACAAAAACACCCTTATCCTTAATATCAACAGGGGTTCATTGACTCACTTTTCTTCTAGTGCACGATTTACATCACTATTAGATAGTAGACACTCCCACAGTCTGGTGGTCATGCTGTTGTTGTTTCCGACACTTGGGTTGGATAGCAACAGCAACAACCTCAACTGATACTGTCTACTAGACCAGTATCATTCCCATATCCCCCCCCCAGTTGAGTGCAGTTTGCCTCCGCTGGATCCATCCCCAGTTCTCAAGGACCAGAAGCTCAGTGCTTTCTGGTCATGATTCTTGTTGTTGTTTCTGTCATTTGTGTTGGACAGGAACAGCAATAGCAACATCCCCAGCCCCCAGTATTTAACCCCATGACTAGATTTGTTGGTTTATCCCCAGTTTCTTCTTCAAGAAGATGCTCCACAAACAGCTGTTCCTTGGAAGGGCTCAGCTGTGATTTCTTGAAAGATGTGAGACAGTTTCCCTTTTTTCTTTTTCTTTTTGGCTTTTCTTTTTTATTTTTGACTACTCCACTACTATGTGTGTCCTTGCCCACTGCAGGGAGACTTGCCTTAATTGGCTTGGCAGTGTGCTTGGCACACATTTCCTTGATCACTGCATGTGGTGACTTACCTTCAGGCTTGGCAGTGCCCTTTGAAATGATAATGGCATGGTTCTTGTCCATCCAAACTGTGACCCATTTGCTTTTATGTCATCTGAATCCAGCCTCAGGCCTTCATTGGCCTGTCAGTGTGCATGAAACTTGGTTGCACCTCCACAAAACCTCCTCAGAGGGAGGTGCCGCCCCTTGGTGCAGCTAGGAGCATTCTTCTCCCTAGTCTGGAGAGGCTCTGGTTCTGGCCATGTAGTGCCTCTTCTAGTTCCTCACGAGGTTAAATATAATATTAAGATTTTTTAGTGTGGATATGAGTGCTGCTGGAGATAACCTGTTGCTTGATAGAGATGCTGAGTGTTGCTGATAAAGAAGTGGGCTGTGCTGTTGATGTTGCTGATGCAGTCAATTTGTTGTTGATTTGTTGTTCTTGTTGCTGTTGTCCTTGGTAGCTGGCGCTGATAGCTTGGTGCTGGTTAGCGTTGCTGATACTGTTGCTGGAGATGAACTGTTGCTGAATAGTGTTGCTGATGGGTGTTTGGGAGTGTTGCTGATTAGTGTTAATAGGGGGGGGGGGGGGGGTTGGCAAGTAGATGTTGGTTGTTGGAACAAGAAGCGCTTCCACTGGGATAACGGTAGCTTCAGCACATGGTTGTGAGGACTCCTCTATGTCTGGCATTTGACAAAGAGTTGCCTTGCTGCTATCAGCATCATGAAGGAGTAGTATTTGTAGAGCAATAGGTGCAACATTGGATGTTATTTTAGGTCAATGTGTTTATAGAGAATTTATTTCTGAGATATCATAGGCTGGGCCAAGCAAAAAAAGACGCACCAGTCGTACATTAGCAATTCAATATATACGTAAACGTATATCATTCAATATTCGTCGTACGCCGTACGGTACTCCCCCACGCCATTAGAAAGCTCTTTTAATTCTCGTTTTAACCATGTGCTTATCATACTTAAGCGTCCGTTGGGGGAAAAGTTACAGCCGAAACGGTCAGTTCAAGACTGAAACAGTTATACGGTTAAATTATACGTGTGCGTGGATTTTGGGCCATCTAATTACCGTGTAATGACTCGTGGGATTAAAAATTTGACTTGTACTAGGCCTACAGCATGCACGTGAAAGCAACTCGTGGGATTAAAAATTTGCACGTGCGCGCGAAAGTATTTTCCAGGGCTACTACATCGTGCACGTGCGAGCGAAACTATTTTGGTGGGATTCAAAAATTCGATTACGTACGAGTACGTACTGAGCACGTTGATTTCGTATGTATATAATTTTTAATCCCACGAGTCGTTACATGGTAATTAGATGGCCCGTAATCTACGACTGAGACCGTACATTAGCTGGCCAACTCTATACCATAGATTGACATCATGACAAAATTCCGTAGAAAATGTTGTTGTTGGACAAGATTTCATGATGTCAGTAGGCGCACTTGACATTTTTACTCAGGAAAAAAGTAGCCCGAAATGTACAACTGGTTTGTACATTTGGGCGCCAACTCTATACAATATTTATGTTAACTAGAACGACAGGCAGCAGTAGTAGTATCAAGAAGGGAGGGACTTTCAGACAAGAAGAATGGAGAACTATGTCATAATTATGGTGGTATTTAGCTCTAGAGAAAGTTGAAATTTTCTGCCACTAAAAGGCACATTTTCTGCCAAATCTCCTGTATTCCTAGAAATAAACTGTGCCAAATGCATCAATTTCTGGAAAATGCTTCTTTTACAGAAAAATAATTAAATGGCAAAAAGCAGTTCCATTTTTTGTATACCTCTCTTGGGAACCTATTTAGTAACACAACACTCACTATGATACGTGCCAAAGAATTTGCCTTTGATGAGTGGGGACATCCTTTTTACATGGATCAAAGCTCTCCTTTGATTCTGCCAACTATGAGGAGATTGAGGAACATGAGAACCAGCAACCAAATAATCAACCAAAAATGCAACAACAAAAGAAGCAACAGCAAAA